ACTCCTGGCTCTGCACTCAGGAATTACCCCTGGCAGTGCTCGGGGGACCATATGGGATGCTGGGAACCGAACCCAGGTCGATCGCACGCAAGCACCCTACCCACTGTGCTATGGATCCTCCTTTTTAAAGACAGGAATAGGACTGGAGTCTGCCACCATTCACCTCTGTTACTGAAGGCATTTTAACAAGCACCAGAAATCGGTGAGACCTAGAAGGAAGGGAGGAGAGGGAGGAGGTAACGTGGGAAAGAGAATTAAAGGGCAGGGGCCCTGCAGGGAGTTAAAGCAAGTTATTAGCTTTGGACGTGTTAGTCTCACCCTGAATGCACTTTCCCTCTGCCCTCTCTCCTGCTGTTTGTCTCTAAATAATTCCATCTCGTTGTTGGACTCACTGGTCTTGCTGGGAATCAGTAAAGAGATTGAAAAATAAGAGGGGGGAGGGAGGACTATCCACTGCAGACAAACCAGCCACTAAAATGACTCTGAGAGTTTAGCCAGGCCAAGCGCAAATCCAAGGCACTCCTTTATGCCAGAAAGCATCGCCACAGACCCCCTCGGGTTCTCGGGTGCTCATGCAGCAGACACGACAGGAGGTCTTCAGCCTTCCCACCCGGGAATGATCAGGCCCGAGAAAAACAGCACCCAAGGGAGGCAGCTGAGGTTAAGCCGCCCCACAGGGGTGACAGCTGTGCCTTTAAGAGAAGGATTATGGTGTGTCTGTAGGAGGCAGGTTGGGGGGGGGGGGGGTGACCTATTCATTGTGGCCAGGGGAGGGAGAAACTCTTAGTGATATTATTCAAGGAAGAAGATTTTCTTATCTTTAACTTGTATCCCCACTAATCACTAGAGAAAATGGTATCTCTTCTAGGGCTCTTTTTTTTTTTTTTTTTGGTTTGGGGGCCACACCTGGCAGAGGTCAGTCTTACTGGCTCTGTGCTCAGGAATGTATACTGGTGGTGCTTGGGGACCATATGGGATGGTGGGGATTGAACCTGGGTTGGTTGCATGCAAGGCAAGTACCTTACCCATTGTACTCTCACTCCGGCCCCTCTTCTTTCCTTTTTCCTTCATTTTTTTTCTTTTCTCTTTTTTTGTTTCTGGTTACACCGAGGGCTGAGGCGATAGCACAGCGGGTAAAGCATTTGCCTTGCACAAGGCCAACCAGGCCAACCCAGGTTCGATTCCTCTGCCCCTCTCTCTAGGAGAGCCCGGCAACCTAACGAGAGTATCTCGCCCACACGGCAAAGCCTGGCAAGCTCCCCGTGACATATTCGATATGCCAAAAATAGTAACAATTGTCACAATGGAGACATTACCAGGTCTTCTCGAGCAAATCGATGAACAACGGGAGGACAGTGACAGTGAGTGACAGTGGCTACACCGACAATGCTTAGTGCTTACTCCTGGCTCTGTTTCAGGGGTCATTCCTGCTTCAGGGGACCCTATGTGGTGTCAGAGATCAAACCCTGATCAGCTACATGCAAGGCAAGAGCCTCCCCCATTGCCCCATCTCTGGGACTCCAAGACATGATTTCCACAGAAGAAAATATCACCCAGAACACCATGACACAGAAACATCAACTACATCATGGGGAAATCTGGAGGAATTGGGGGGTCGAGGCACCCATCAACCCTCCTTCCTGATCATCCTCTCTGAAGTTTAGCGTACCCTGCCCCCTGGCACCCAAGTGCTGTCCAGAAAACACGTGCACTGCTATCAGGACAAAGAGACTTCTGGAACATTTGGGAGCACAGACAACACCGAGGCTGAGTCTTGCCCTATCATCTCTTCCTTTGTGGCCTATGAACAGGCAGAGAGTGAGTAAATTTGGCACACCTGGTGGCATGCGAGGTCTCGAGACCATCAACGAGCGCAGGTGCAGCTTGTACCCTCGTGGCACAGCACGTGTTACCCGAGTCTTCCCTCTTAAGATGCGTACTTGCCTACCTAATGCCAGGGTGTGTGTAGGGGCTCTCTTCACCTTTAGAGAAGCCTAGGTTCTCTCTTGAGTGCATTAGTCTTTCTCACTTTCTCTTCCTCCTTCCCCTTTCCAAAAACCTCCAGGTAAAATCTGTTTTACTCAAAAAAAAAAAAAAAGAGGCATTGAGTGGCAATCATGTTTGGTCTATAGTCTACTTTCAGCATGTTTCTCCCATCCTGGGAGGATCCTCCCAACACGCTTTATTTGGTGCTCCTTTCTCTGACCTCCCTTTTCCCCTAGAGTGTGTGGCTGGCCTCCAAGCCATGGAGCTAAACTCCTAGTACTAATCTTGGCCACTCTTTGGGTGTTAAAACCACAACACCCAAAAGGAGAGAGAGAACAAAAGGGAATACCCTGCCACAGAGGCAGGGTGGGACGGGGGGATGGGGGGTGGGAGGGATACTAGGATCCATGGTGGTGGAAAATGGGCACTGGTGGAGGGATGGGTGTTTGGTCATTGTACAATTGAAACCCAAGCACAAAAATTCATAAATCTACAACTGTACCTCATGGTGTTTCACTAATAAAAAATTTTTTAAATAAAATAAAAAGGTAAAGGTAAAGGTAAAGGCCCTCCCGTTGATCGTCGATTTGCTCGAGCGGGCCCAGTAACGTCTCCATTGGAGACTTTGTTGTTACTGTGTCTGGCATATCGAATACTCTCGGTAGCTTGCCGGGCTCTCCAAGAGGGGCGGAGGAATCGAACTCAGGTCGGCCATGTTGGCCGCTTGTAAGGCGAACGCCCTACCCGCTGTGCTATCGCTCCAGCCCTGAAAGCTTTTTCCACTGGTTAAAAAAAAAAAAAAAGACCATCAATGAACTTAGGCCAGTGGCCAGGTAGCCCCTGTCCTTACCATACAAGGCTGCCTCAATGGCACCCTTTACACTGGATGTCACTTTTGTTATTGTTGGGCCACACCTAACTGGGCTCAGGAATTACTCCTGGTGGGGCTCAGGGGACGACAGACAGTGCTGGGGATAGAACCCTGGTTAGTCCCCCTACAAGGCAAGAGCCGTACCCACTTTGCTATCTCTGGGCCCCTAAGTGCATGGTTGGAACTGAAACTCCCCCAATAAAGCACATCCCCCTGACCTTACCCTCCTTTCAGTGTTATCCAGGTTTGGAACCGAGAATCGCATGCAGAGTGGAGCGGAGCGATAGTACAGTGGGTAGGGCATTTGCCTTGCACACAGCCGACCCGGGTTCAATTCCCAACATGGGATATGCTTCCCCCAAGCACTGCCACGAGTAATTCCTGAGTGCAGAGCCAGGAGTAACCCCTGTGCATCGCTGGGTGTGACCCAAAAAAAAAAAAGAATTGCATGCAGAGAAATCATATGGAAAACTGGAAAGCTGCAGCCCGGATACTAAACACTGAGAGCATACGGGACTATACTGGGAAACAGGGGTGCTAGGCCCCTCTTCCTCCCTCCACTTGGCCTTTGCCTTGGGTGCTGTAACTGTGCAAACCACCAAAGCTTGCTCCCTGCGGAGAAAGGAAGGGCAGAGGAGCAGACACCTACCATGCTGGCCCACAACCAGGTCCGGGGCACCTCTGAATTGGGGTGACATTTCAAAGGAAAGCGAGTGATTTTCTGAATGCCTAGTCAGGACAGCAGCAGAGGGTCGGAAGGGCGATGACTTGTTAGCAGGGGTGATGCTTGAGCAATGAGACCAGAGAGCATTTTACATGCTTCTCATTGTCTTCAATTTTCTTAATTGCCTTAATGGGCACGCGCTGGTGCAAACTGAAGTGAAACTGTTTTCCTCCTTTTGCTGTAATTTACAGCGAGACAGTTTGATCCTATAATCCCGAGGCTTTGCAAATCTGTCCCTCTTAGGTTCAAGGAAAGGTTATGATGGTTACGAGGGAAAGAGAGGGAGAGAAGAGAAGAAGGGAGGGGGAGGAAGGAAACAAAAAGAGAGGGACAGAGGGAAGAAAGAACAGAGAGGACCCCCACGAAGTAAAGGGAAAAAATATTAAATTGTGTACCCAGTCTGGAAGACGGCAGATTCCGGAATAGTGTGGTAGGAAGAGGTTTTGAGTGTTGGTTCTGAATGATGTTTCATTAATGACTTCAGAGTCAAGTTTCTTCACCACCGTATTTCCCAACAGCTATTAGAAGACCACAGCATCATCAAAGCCCTGGACAATGCATGTTTTTTTTTGGGGGGGAGGGGTAAGGGGACAGCTTGAAGAGTTGCCCTATGCCAAGGAAATCTGGTTCTGACCCAAACTAACAGGCTGAAACCGAGGCATCCCGGCCCGGACCCACTCGGGGTTCAGCTGATTCTGGGTGTGGAGCCGCAGGGGTTCAGAGCCTAGGAGGGCATCTTGGCCAGCAACGAGCAGCTGCCGGCTCAGCAGAAGGGTCACGGGCCCAGACCCAGACTCACCGACCTCCCAGCTGTCTCCTTCAGCTGTAAGCTGGGTGGGGGGGGGGGGTCTCGAAGAAGATCTGAATCTGCAAGACTGGTCTGCACCCCTGATTGCTGCCAAGGTGTGGGTGCGAAACAGGGCTGTGTCCCGGGCAGCAGTGCACCCCGCCCCTCCCGGCCCGCGCCCCGCCCCCCTGCTTGGAGTCACGCCCCTTCCAGCCCGCGCCCCGCCCCTCCCAGACCGCGCCCGCCCCTCCCAGCCAGCGCCCCGCCCACCTGCTTGAAGACACGCCCCCTCCCGGCCCGCGCCTCGCCCACTACTTGGCGCCACGCCCCTCCCAGCCCGTGCCCGCCCCCCAGCCAGCGCTCCGCCCACCTGCTTTAAGCCACGCCCTTCTTGGCCCGTGCCACGCCCACTACCTGGCGTCACGCCCCTTCCAGCCCGCGCCACGCCCACCCGCTTGCCGCTGCGCCTCTTCCGCCAAGCCCGCCCCGCCCCCCCAGCTGCCTTCCTCCCACCCCGCCTCTGGGGGGCGCCTGCGCGTCCTCCCCCTTATAAAGCACGGCCGCCCCGCATCCCACCATCGACCGGTGGCTCCCCAGACGTCCTGCCTTTACCCTGGGACACCGCAGGCGACATGGGCGAGCCCACGACCGTGCACCCTGACCACCTGTGGATCTGGGATAGGGCTGTGTATCTGGACGAGAGACAGCGCACCTGGCTGCCCACAGTCATCAAGGTACAGCCGCTTTGGAGGGGGCCGGGTCGGTGGGCAGTGGGCATCACCCACCCCAGCCAACCTCTAGCGTCAGGTGGGCTTCAGGCCGGGCAAGGTCCTTCAGGGGGCAGCTGCAGAGTTGCCAGGGCGGTCGCTGGGAGAGGCCGAGGGCAGCATCTGCCCAGGACCGGAGCTGTCCACAGATGGAAGCACTTGAAGGCAGACCGTGAAGACCAAGTCCGAGGAGGGTGTTTAGAACAAGGAGTGTTGGCTCACGGGTGGCGCCCAGCCTCGATGGAACAGATTTCCTGGGCTGCGGTCCTGCCCATACAATGAGAATCATACAGGGCTTAAAGCCAGCGATTCACACACCAGTTTCCTTAGCTTTAGATCGATCAGGATTTTGAACAGAACCGTCGGGGGGTCGGAGAGATAGGATAGGACCAGCGTTTGCCTTGCACGGGTCACCGGGTTCAACTATGCCCATTGCATATGGTCCCCGAAATCCCCTACCAAAAGGAGGTTCAAGGCCCAAGCAATTGGAAATTTTGGCACGACCAGTTGGACCCTTGGTGGCCGGAGAGATAGAACAGTGGTAGGGTTCTTGCATTGCAGGGAGCTAACCTGGGATTGGTCCCCAGCATCACATAGGGTCCTCTGAGCCCTCCCAGGCATAAGTCTGACCACCACCCTATCCCCCCCCCCCCGCCCCCAAAAGGCCCTTGCCTTGCATGCAGCTGCGGCTGACCCTGGGTCAATCCCTGGCACCTTGTGACCCCCGGAACATTGCTTGGTGTGGCCCTGGAGGTTCCTGAGCATCATCTGGAAGACCACCACTCTTCCCAAGAAAAAAGGGAACCCCCATTTTCCTGTAGGGGTGTCTCCCAGGCCCAGCCAGACCCGGAAAAGCCTGCCCCCTCCTGGCATCGCAGGGCACCTGGGTGGGTTTGCGCCTCGGATCCCGGGGGAGCTCACAGCCCAGGGGTTCCTGGTCTTCTCCCCAGGTGGAGAGAGGCTTCCGAGTGCTCATGCGCCAGCAAGACGTGCCCCTGAGCCACGCCATGCGCCCCAGCCAGCTCGGGTCCCACCGGCTGCCCTTGCTCTGGCAGCTGTACCCCGGAAACCGGTACAAGGGCTCCGACTCCAGCTTCTGGAGCATCGTCTACCACGTGAAGGCAAGTGCGCGCATCTGGGGGGGACCCCGCTTCCGGCCGCTGCGGTCGGGGCCCTCCCCCGCGGCACCCAGGGGGCAGAATGCAAAGTGAGGTGCAAAGTGACAGATGGGTTACCTGGGGCAGGGGGCGGGCTCCGCCCAGAAAGGTCGCTCTGGTGGGGCAAGGGGGAGAAGTGGACGGGGGAGTGGGCAGGGCACCCCTAGGGTTCCAGAACGCCCCACCCCAGGTGCTGGGAGCGGTGGGGTTCCGGCTGCAAATCCTCCATCCCCCCCACCCACAGTTTACCAGCTCGGAGGACATGCTGCTGGACCTGATGCCTGAATCAGACCGCGAGGCCAATGAGGAAGCCGCAGAAGCGGGCCCCAGACTCTGAGACCAGCGACGTGGGAGGAGGGGCGCCCTTCCCCGGGCTCCCCTTGAATTAGAGCCCCCAGGATGGAGACTCGCACTGGGGAGCACTACCCTCACACATTTCCCCCCCGCTCAGGGTCCCACAGAGGCCCCGGGGTGCCAGCCACAGAGGTTGGAGTCACCCCCTTTTATAGGCAAACCTCCCCCCACTCCCAGGTGTTTGTAGGTGGTAGTGAACTCTGTGATGTTGATTAAGTGGGACACAGTTCACCTGACTTGCTGACTGGGCTTCTCCCAGATGGATCCTGTTAAGAGAGAAGCCACACCAGGAAATTCCCAGGGAGGAAGAGTTGAAGGGGAAGAACATTCCAGAATATCAGCTCAGCTGCTCCTTTGGAGATAAGGCTGGCTGGGTTCTTGTTTTTCCCTTATAGTCCAGGTGCTCAGAATCTCTGCTCTGACGCTTATTGGGCCCACCCTGGGTTAGTGGAGTCCGTGGCCTTACACTGTCCTCCCCCTCCTTCCTCACCCCTGCCTTCTTCACACCTCCTTCCTCTCCCTTCCTCCTCCTCCTTCATCCTCCTTACCCTTCTTCCTCTTTTCCTCCTCATTCTCCCTCCTCACCCCTCCTCCCTTGCCCCTCCTTTCCCTTCCTTCCCCTCCCTCACCCCTCCTTCACCCTTCCTTCCTCACCCCTCCTTCCTCACCTTCCCCTTTCCTTCCTCGCCCTTTCTTCATATCACCCTTCTTCCTCGCCACCTTCTTCCTCACCCCTCACCCCTCCAACCTCACCCTTCCATTGTCACCCTTTTTTCTATTTACCTCACCCTTCTATCCTCACCCTCACCCCTCCTTCCTCTTCGTTCCTTACCTTCCATTCTCATCCCTCCTTCCTCACCCACCCTTCCATCCTCACTCTTCATCTTCATCCTTCTCACCTCTCCAATTCTTACCCTTCTGTCTGTCATCACCCTTCCTTCCTCACCCCTCCCTCCTCACCCTCCCATCTGACAAGTTTCCCATTGTCCCTTGTCCCTCAGCCCATCCACCTTCTTTTCCTCCCTCACTGGCCTTCCCTGCGATGTCCTGCTATGGGGAATTCCAACCCCAGTAAAAGGCCCCCTCCCTGCGTGATCCCCACCAGAGTCCCCTCCCCAGCATCACCCCCACCCACCGCCCACATTCCTGCCCGTCCTGCTTCCTTCTCAAGACCAGCCACCCCTCTGCTTCTGGGCTGGCTGCAGGACCTCAAACAGCACCTAGGAATGCTTCCAGGACAGTCCATCTGGGCTGTCACTTTGCTTCCTCGGGACAGAGCAGTGAGCAGTGCTGCTGGCGTCAGGCTGCCAGGAATCTTGGAAGAGGATCATATTAGATGCCGCCCCGATCCCGTCCCGGTTTTGATCCTTGAACCCAAGTTCCTGCCCTGCACATGCAGTGAGAGTTTGTCAGTGGGAGCTCGCACTGGACAGAGCCCTCATTGTTGGGGAAGGTGGGAGAGGGCAGCAGTGGCCTCTTTGGAAGAAGAGAAGAACACCTACAAGGGGCTGCCCTGTACCTATCCACGCACTGGCGTGTCTCCCTGAGATTCACAGGCCGGTGCATCCCATCTGTTGTATAGACTCAGGGTGAGGCCACCGGTCAGGTGTGACCCTGAGCATCTCCCCTGGAATCAGGACCTGCAGAGCAAGTGGAAGAGGGACTCTCTCTGCACACCCTGAGATGTGTGAAGGCGGCACATTGCAGGCCGAGGAGAGCCCTCACCCGCCGCTGGATCCGTCGGCCCCTGCACGTGGCTGGGGTCTCGAGGGCTTCCAGGAAACTGCATCAGTGAATGGCAGCCCCCAGCCTGTGCAGGTCAGTCTTGTGGTTCAGCTGCCACAGTTGTGATGCCAACTCTGACGAAGCCTGTGCCCACCACAATGGAAAGGGCTGGGTGCTGCAGACACGCACTGGACAGAGCCCAGGCCCAGCTCACCTGTAAATGGCAGCCACACCGCAGGCTTGATGGGTTCTGGCATCATCCTTTGGGCACCAGTACTCCAACTGGACGGTGCAGCTGTGAGTGGCTTTCCAGAACATTCTAACCATGCAGGTTCCACACATTCTTCTTGTTTCTCAATGAACCTCTTGGGCATGTTCCTGCTTTCTCTTTTTGCTCGACCTGCGTTTTCCCTTTCTTTGTACCAAATCACCTCTGGGTGCCAATGAAATGATCTCTTGTTTGCTCTACATGGACTTTGTTTGCGACCATGTGTGCAAAAGTATTTATGGTGAATTTGACTGTGTAACATATTTGATTCTTGGGGCATCCCAAAAGTACAATGGTAGCAGCTGCCAAAAGAAATCCAAGCTCTCTCTTGTTCCTGCTTCTGTTCTTGCCTCTTGTCCAGTACTCAGGTCAGGAAGCGGAGGGAACTGCTTTCTTTCCTTCCTGATCTTTATTGGGAACACTTAATTGTGTCCCAGTAAGTAAACTCCAGCCCTAGGGCTTAGATGTTTGTCTGTGAATTTTCTCACATCAAAGAAGTCTCTTCCAAATCCTAACATTTGTATTTTTAACTTGATGTGTATTGAATTTTGTTACATGCTTTTTTGATATCTGAGATATCTGTAGGATACTTTTCACAAACTAATAAAATTCATCATTATTAGAATTCTGACTCCTTCTTGAATTCCTGGAATAAGACCCACTTGGTCATGATTTAAAATGTGTTGATGGATATCTTGGCTAATACTTTAAAGCTTTGCGTTGGTCTGAAAGGCCTGTTGGGGTGGGGCATGCCCAGTGGTTCTTGAGGGACCCAGTGGTATCTGGGAATTTTGCAGGTAAAACATTTTGTACCCTACATCTTTGAGCCTCTCCTGACCAGCCTTTTTTTTTTCTCTCAGTCTTTGTCAATTTTTTCCATCAAAGTTCTATTTATTGGGGCTGGAGCAATAGCACAGTGGGTAGGGCATTTGCCTTGCACGCAACCAACCCAGGTTCAATTCCCAGCATCCCGTTACCAGTGTTACCAGAGCAGTGTTAGGAGTAATCCCTGTGCATCGACGGGTATGACTCAAAAAGAAAAAAAAAAAGTTACAGGGCTGGAGAGATAGCACAGCAGGTAGGGTGTTTGCCTTGCACATGGCCAACCCGGTTTTGATTCCCAGCATCCCATATGGTACCCTGAGCACCGCCAGGAGTAACTCCTGAGTGCAGAGCCAGGAGTAACCCCTGTGCATCGCCAGGTGTGACACAAAAAGCAAAAAAAAAAAAGTCATATTTATTTTGTAAAAATAATGTAATAACGTGTCTCATGCCTTTTATTATCATAATCATTAATATTGGTTTGATAGAATTTCTTTATCAATCACCAATCCTGCTGCATTTGGGGAGAAAATCCCTTCTACAATTTTCTAAATTCTTTCTGAAAATTGTTTGAGCTCTCTACTGGGATTAATTTTCGTTAAGTAGAATTTCAGAGGAAACCATTCACTTCATCTTGGTTTTGTATTTAATTTTTATAGTTACTCAAAAGTTTCAGAACTTTCAGTATTTTCTCCAGATAATAATCACCCTCATAATTTCTCATTGTCTCTCTCCCTTTAGTAAAATTGGCTTTTTCTATTTAATTTTCAGAGAACCAACTGTTTGATTCATTCTGTTATTTTTGTTTTATTTCTTTTAAAAAAATTCTCATTGATATTTGTTATCTTTAATTTTTATCACTTATGTCTTGGTATACTTTATCCCCTCTAGCTATTTAATTGGGTGATTATTTTCTTTAAATATTATAAAAGTAACTTATATAACAGTTTATAAAATATAAAATACCATGGATTCACTCCTTTTAAGTCTCAATTCAATTGCTTTTGGTATATTCACAGGGTTGTTCGGCAATCAGCAGGATTAATTTTAGAATATTTTTATTAGACCAAAAGTATATTTCACATTCATTAGCACTTAAGTCCATATTTCCCCCAAACCCACACATCTACTTTCTGCCTCTAAAGATTTGCATATTCAGGGCCTGAGCGATAGCACAGCTGGTAGGGCGTTTGCCTTGCATGCTTTGCCTTGCACATGGCCGACCCAGGTTCGATCCCCAGCATCCCATATGGTCCCCCATGCACCACCAGGAGTAATTCCTGAGTGCAAAGCCAGAAGTAACCCCTGAGCATCTCCCCAGGTGTGACCCAAAAAGCAAAAAATATATATATATTTGCATATTCATAGCACTGCACTGTCCTCCCGTTGTTCATGATTTGCTCGAGCACAAGTAACGTGAGACTTGTTACTGTTTTTGACATATCGGATACCTCATGGTTAGCTTGCCAGGCTTTGCCATGCCGGTGCGATAGTCTCAGTAGCTTGCGGGGCTCTCTGAGAGGGGTGGAGGAGTTGAACCCTGGTCAATGTGCACCGCAAGAGCCTTGCCATATATTTAAATATAATGTGAGCCTTTTTGTGGATTCTGTAACAACCTTGTTTGTGGATTCTGTAACAACTTGTTTGCAGGGTCCAGACCTGTACTAGAATGTATCAGTAGTCTGTTACTTTTTACAACAGTACAATACATGCTCAGAGAAGCTACATTTTATATGCTCGTGGAGGTTTGAGTTATTTCCACATAATGCTGATACATGTGTTTGTGAGGGCATATTTATTTCATCACTTCTCTAGATTATACTTCTAGAAGTGTAATTGATGTGTTCACAGGAAATAGTTTTTAACCTGAGCGGCAGGCGGACTGTCACAAAGTGATCCCGTATTCTCGCAAGCAGTGTATATATACTAGCCAGTGGTAGGGTTAAAGTGGCATCTCACTATAGTTTTCATATGCATTTCTCATTTATTGGCAATCCTTTTTCTGGAGTGGGGGGGGCCCACACCTGGCGATGCTCAAGGGGACTATATGAGATATCAAGCAAGGCAAGAGCCCTGCCCATTGTACTATCTCTCTGGCCCCTGGCAAACTTTATTTAGAGAAATGCCTATTAAGAACTTTTGTCCAGGGGCTGGAGCAATAGCACAGT